AGAAATCCATCAGGATGAAGTCTCAATTCTGAAATCTATACCCCAAATACAAAGGCATCAACTTTCATAAAAGAAACATTACTAGAACTCAAATCACACATCAAACCTCACAGACTTAGAGTTGCAGACTTCAACACCCCACTCTCCCTACTATACAGGATCACCAGACAGAAACTTAACAAAGAAACAAAGGAACTAATAGAATTTATGACCCAGTTGGGTTTAATGGATATCTATAGACCATTCCATCCAAACACAAAAGAATATACCTTGTATTCAGTGCCACAAGGAACCTTCTTTAAAATTGACCACATTCTTGGCAACATAGCAAACCTCAACAGGTGCAAAAAATTGGAATTGTACCCTGTATCTTATCAGAACACCATGCTTTAAAGTTAGAATTCAACAACACAAATTGCAGAAAACCTACAAACTCATGGAAATTGAACAATGCATAATTGCACCATTTCTGGGTCAAGGAAGAAATAAAGTAATTAAAGATTTCAGACAATTCAATGAGAATGAAGACACAACATACCCAAACTTATGGGACATATTGAATTCAGTGCTAACAGGAAAGTTCATGGCACTAAGTGCCAACATGAAGAAACTGGAGAATAGTCACACTAGAGAATTGACAGAACAACTGAAAGCTTTAGAACAAAAAGAAGCAAACTCACCCAGGAGGAGTAGACAGCAAAAAAATAGTGAAATTGAAGCTGAAATCAATAAAATAAAATCAAGGAAAACAATGCAAAGAATAAATGAAACAAAGAGTTAGTTCTTTGAGAATATCAATAAGATAAACAAAACAGTTATCCAAACTAACCAAAAGACACAGAGAGAGAGCATGCCAATTAGCAAAATCAGAAATGAAAAGGGGGAATAACAATGGACACTGAGCAAATCCAGAGATCATCAGGTCATCCTTTGAAAACATGTTCTCCACAAAATCAAGAACTTAAAGGAAATGAACAATTTTCTGGATAGGTATCATTTACCAAAATTATATCAAGAACAGATAAGAAATTTAAATATAACCCCTAATGAAATAGAAGCAGTCATCAAAAGTCTCACAACCAAAATAAAAGGCAAGGGCTAGATGGCTTCAATGCAGAATTCTATCAGAAATTCAAAGAACACCTAATACCAATGCTCCTCAAATTATTCCACACAATAGAAGCTGAATGGTGATTCCTAACTCTTTCTGAGGCTACAATTACCTTGGTACCCAAGCCACAGAGAGACACCATTAAGAAAGAGAACTACTGACCAATATCCCTTATGAACATTGATACTCAATAAAATACTGACAAATCAAATCCAAGAACACATCAGAAAAATCCATCCACCATCATCAAGTAGGCTTCACTCCAGGGATGAAGGGATGGTTCAACATATGAAATGTAATCTATCATATAAACAAACTGAGAAAGAAAAATCACATGATCATCTCACTAGATGCTGAAAAGCCTTTGAGAAAAATCCAACACCCCTTCATGATAAAGGTCTTGGAGAGAACAGGAATAATAGGAACATACCTAAACATAATAAACGCAATATACACCAAACCAACAGCCAACATAAAAACTAATTAAGTGAAACTGACTTGATTCCTCTAAAATCAAGAACAAGACAAGGCTGTCCACTCTCTCCATATCTCTTTAATATTTTACTTGAAGTTTTAGATAGAGCAATAAGACAACAAAGGAGATCAAGGAAATACAAACTGGAAAAGAAGATTCAAACATTCGCTATTTGCATTTGGTATGATAGTTTACACAAGTGACCAGAAAAACCCTACCAGGGAACTCCCACAGCTAATAAACCCCTTCAGCAAAGTGGCAGGATACAAGATTAACTAAAAAATCAGTAGCCATACTGACAAATATTTTTCTGATATCTCTCCTGTTGGAGACAGAGTTTCATATTGTTTGTTCAGTTTCATATTGTTTGTTCAGTTTTTTTCTGCTTCTGGCCCACTGGAATTCTCCTTTTTCTGTCTTTCATCTCTGAAGGGAGTGTTGGCATTACAGACACTATACCTGATTTAATGTGGGTTTGAGGGATTCAAACTGAGCTGATCACACTGCACTGAAAACATATAACATACTAAGCCATTTCTGTAGCTCAGAATTTCCTTGAATGTGGCAAATGATGTTCGCATGTAGTAGATGCTCCATTTTATGAGGTTTGTCAGCGAGTTCTAAAATTATAACCATATCTGGGGTCTGGATTGGAACTGATTTAATGAGTATATTAATCCCAGCAAGGATTCTTTGCAGAATGTTGTAAATAATTTGCTGTCCACAAATGGTTTTTGAAAAATATCCCCAAATCTAATGACACTACTTTACATCCTACTGATTGGTATGTAGTCCTTATGACAAACTGCAATGGTTTTACAGCAGAGGTCAGAATGGTCTGAGACAGAAAAACCCGTTCCATGTCCAGGCCAATTATGGGTGCTAGTGGTAGAATTCTCAGGCAAATTTCATTAAATGAACCATTATCCACATGGTTACCATGGATTTGCTATATGACTGACAAAATTAACTATTGCATCAGAAAATTAATTGAGGTGATTAAAGAGAGACTGTTCCACTACAAAATTATAAAATGTTCACAAGCATTCCAATCTAATCCATAGAAAATTAATTTGTAGTATGCTATATGAAGTGAGTCACCTGATACTTTTTAAACTTTAGATTCCTTTGGACTGTTTCTTGTTTTCACTTTTCCTCCTTGAGTGGAAGATCTTTCACTCTGACTGATTCCAAGCAAGCTCTGTGTTTTTTCATTTAGAGGCACAGATGTAACTATGAGGGTAGCACCCATCTCTGTATTTTCTTTATACATTTCCAATACAAATATTGGCAAGGCAGTTCAGAACATAGTTTTTTCTTTTAATTCTCTTTCTCTCAATTAGCCAAAAGTGTGCTTTGATTGAGAGTGGTGAGCCTTGGACTCCCTTCCTTTAAAAGATTCTCTCACTGCACTCTGAACAGGCCTACTCTAAAATTAGGATGCAGAGTCATGCTACATTTGAAACCTTTTCAATACTTGCTTACTGTTATTCTGTAGAAATAGTAAATAACCCCCTGAAAAATCTAATGTATGCAGTGACTTTAAATAATCAACAAATAGAAAAAGTGTCACTGAAGAATTTGGCTATGTCTATATACTCTTGAAAGGAACTTCATTATTATGCCAGCATTTCAGAATGTGTGCACAGTGATCACAGTACTTATATCCAAGTTACTCTCAGTCAAAGGCACCTTCTGCGGTATTGTAGCATCTGCTATGAATATCTGTTTCTAAGGCAAATTAGAGCATACTTAAAACTTTACTTTCACAAGTCCTTTCTGTAATCATCAGACCTTTCAAGGACTTTGACAGACTTAATATACAGTTACCTCCCATGGAGCACTTTACCTCACCTTTTGTGGAATCTGGGCAAGGGCCCATGCAATTGTGTTGGCCTTTTCTTCTGTCATGTTGCTGACCATTGACCCCAGAGAAAACACCACAACACCATGTTCTCCAGAACTCTGGACAAAGTCTTCCATTTCCTGTGAAGAGAATTTGCTTCATGACAAAATACCAATTGTTGAGAACTCACTTATGATACCTTTATGAAAAAACTAGGAGAATAGAAATTAAGGTGCTCCTAGGAATTTTTAGAGTAGTGTTTTTAAAACATACATACAGAAGACAAAACTGCCAGTGTCAAAGACTTTGTACTCACACATTGTGCAACGAACATTTTAATTACTTTCCTCTGGCAAAATTAAAACTCAGGAGTCCCAGCATACTTTATAAAGTATTCATAAAATTGTAGCTTCATTTACAAGTTTTCACCCTACAGGAAATGTGATATTTTTCCCTTGCTATTTTATTTTTCTCCTATAATGATTGGTTAAATATTACTAACTCATGTTTGATGAAATAATATCTATGCTGTAGTATTTATATATCTAGTAGTTAATATAAACTTCCTACTATGATTAATAAAATGCTTTGGTTCTTTTTGAAGTATTCATAACTGCATGGCAAACATATACCACATAATAATATTCTGAAATTGTGTTTAAATAAGGTATTTTCAGAGATGACCTTCACGATCACTGGTTGGACAGAAGCTATATCCTTGTTTCTCTGGATATCAAACAATTACCTCAGATACATGTTAGTCACATCTTTTGATGATTGATAGTTTCTGAAGTGATGAGTTTAACTGAATTAATTTCTTTGTTTTTTCGCATGTGTTTATATGTTTGCATGAATATGTGCACAAGTGTGCTTCTGTGTGTGTGTGTGTGTGTGTGTGTGTGTGTGTGTGTGTGTATTGATGTATTGGGGGTCCTGGGGAGGTTTTCTGCCTTAGTTTTAGCACATAGGTGCCAAAAGTTAAAATATGATGCCTTTCTCTATCAATCTTAAATATAGTTGTAGAGGCTCTCATCCTGAAGAGAAATGTTACAATTTTTACCAGATTGTGGCCAGCAAGCTCCCAGTATCAATCCTTTTCTGCATCCTAAGTACCAATGTCATAGTACTGTGTGGGACACCCAATTTTTTAATGGGTGTTGGGATTCAAACTTACATCCTCATAGTTGTTTGGTAAGGACTTTA